CAATGGAGGTGCATCAGCTTCTCCCTTGTGTCGGGACTCTCCGCGCCAGGTGAGTGAGGTGCATGTGGCTGGCAGCTGGCACCGGGGATCCCAAGGCCTTGGATGGCAGCTCCCAGGGGGTTTGTGGCAGGGCTATTTCTGGTGTTCCCTGTGTCACCCAACTGACATTGCCCCCATCCCCTGCCTGTGCTCTTGCTACCCTGCAGGGTAGGGTCAGACGCTTTGTGAGGAAACACCTGGGCAAGGCTGTGACTGTCATCCATGGAAAAAGGCAGCAGCGGGTGGAAGAGCCAGACGTGGCACTAAGCTTGGATGCGGAGTCACCGTCAATGTCGCCTGCTGTATTTCAGGGCAGCGAGAACCAGCCAGGTACTTCCCCGAGTTGGGTGGCACCCAGGCCAGGCCGGCAGCAGTGCGTGCATGAGTTCGGGTGTGTCCCAGCCTCCCCTCCATGGGCTGAGGGCTGCAAGCCTTCGGTGCAAAGGGCCACGAGGATGATCAGGGGGTTGGGGCACCTCCCGTACGAAGGCAGGCTGAGAAGGTTGGGGCTGTTCAGCCTGGAGAAGAGAAGGCTGCGTGGAGACCTCCTAGCAGCCTTCCAGTATCTGAAGGGGGCCTATAAGGATGCGGAGGAGGGACTCTTCGTTAGGAACTGTAGTGATAGGACAAGGGGTAACGGGTTCAAACCTAAAGAGGGGAAGTTTAGGTTGGATTTAAGGAGGAAGTTCTGGACTGTAAGACTGGTGAGCCACTGGAATGGGTTGCCAAAGGAAGACCGTCGCCTGCAGCTCTTCTTCCCCCCCACAGGCATTGCCACTCTTCCAGACCCAGGAGCGGCCCCACGGCGACGACTCCACCGCTTCAGGAGAGTGCTGAGGGCTCTGCGCAAGGCTTTCTGTTCCTCTTGCCTCAACCCACGTGTGGAGGAGTAGCACCCTGCTGCCAGCACCAGGCCCAAGGGAGCTGTGCCGAGGATGTCGTGCTGCAGCCTGCTCTTGTTGTGGGTGCTTTCTTCGGCCAGTAAATAATAACTCTTTTCCCCCCACCAGTGCTTGTCTCTGCCTCTATGTTGGTTAGAACATGTCTGCGTAATTCATGGGCCTCCATATTTAATTAACGTAAAACAACTGACTTCAGTCTAAGCGGCTACCTATCTGTTGCAATTAGTTCTTGTTTGCTAATTAATTGCCAACGGATGATTCAAGAGTCCTTTACTGAGGTTTAGCAGCAATCAAGACATGTACCTAGTACTCGGGGGACTTACTATGCAGTAACTGGGTTCTTGAATTAAATTCTTATTGGAGACCTTGAAAGTGTGACCTGAGAAAACTTCTCTGCAGCCAGTGGATCCTCTAAGGGCTTGCCGTGCCCTCCTGGATCTGCTGCCATGGGCAGTGTTGCTCCTAAGAGGGGGAGGCAGTGTGGATCCTCCTGGCTCCCTGCGGGGGGAGTTAACTTGCTTCCATCTGCAAGTTGAAGGTGAGGAAAAGCAGGATCTCAGGTCGTGGCTGTGGTGGGGGAGCAGCTCTGCTGACATAGGCTCCCAAATACTGTCTGTCTGGTCTGACAGTTGTGCTTCATCTTTGTCTCTCCGCTGGACTTGAGCAGAAGCGGAGGGAGAGAAGGTGAGATTTGTCATCTCGGCTGGCAGGCAGCACCAGATTCCATCTCACTCAGCTGCCTCTTACAGAAGGAACACTCCTCTGGGTGCCCAAATCCTCCCCGTAGTACGGGGAACAAACAAGAGGAATTAGGGATGTGTGCACATCTACGGGGATATGATGTAATAGGCAGCACAGAAACTTGGTGGGATGGCTCCTATGACTGGAGTGTTGGAATGGAAGATTAGAGGCTCTTCAGAAAAGACAGGCCCGGCAGATGGGGATGAGGAGTTGCTATTTGTGTTAGGGATAGGCTGGAGAGTATGGAACTCTGTCTGGAGACAGGTGAGCAGTCAACAGAGAGTCTGTGGGTCAGGGTTAAAGGGAGAACAGCGATGGGAGACATGACTGTGGGGATCTGTCACAGACCGCCTGATCTGCAGGATCTGCAGGGCTCTGCAGATGAAGTGCTCTCTAGACAGATAGGAAGAGCCTCACGCTCTCAGGCCCTTGTCCTCACGGGGGACTTCAAGCACCCTGATACCTCTTGGAGGGACAGTGCGGCCTGGCACAAGCAATCCAGGAGGTTCCTCGATTGTCTGGAAGACAACTTCCTTCTGCAAGTAACAGAGGAGACGACAAGGAGAGGCGCTATGCTTGACCTCGTGCTCACCAACAGAGAAGGGCTGGTAGGAAATGTGATGCTCCAGGGCAGCCTTGTTTGTAGCGATCATGAGATGGTTGAATTTGAGATCCTCAGGACAGTGAGAAGAGCGTGCAGCAAGCTCACTGCCCTGGACTTCAAAAGAGCAGACTTTGGCCTCTTCAGGAACCTGCTTAGTAAGGTTCCATGGGATATAGCCCTATGGGGCAGGGAGGCCCAAGACTCTTGGTTGATATTCAAGGATCAGCTGCTACAAGCTCAGGAGTGTTGTATCTTAACTAGAAGGAAGTGCAGCAGGAGGGACAGGAGACTCCTTCAATATTGATAAGGAGCTGAGGGAGCCGAAGGAAAAGAAGGGCTTATAAAAGGTGAGAAGCAGGGACAGAGGAGCCTTGGGAAGAATACAGGGATGTTGTCCGGGAAGCTAGGGACCACGTTAGGAAAGCTAAGGCCCAGTTAGAATTAAACCTGGCTAAGGATGTTAAAGAGAATCGGAAGGCATTCTATAGTTCCATTGCAAATCAAAGACAGACTAGGGACACCGTGGGCCCTCTCCGGAAGCTATCAGAACTGGCTACGCCGGGTTTGGAGAAGGCTGAGGTTCTCAATGGCCTCTTTGCCTCAGTCTTCACTGGCAAATGCTCCCACCACACGACCCAAGTCTTGGAAGGCAGATGCAGGCACTTTGAGAATGAAGACCTTGGACCCACTGTAGGAGAGGATCTGGTTTGAGACCATCTGAAGAACCTGAATGTGCACAACCACCAATAATAGTAATGATAAAGGCAATTACAAGGGAAGAGAATACAATACCCCATCACCAGCCAACCGATAACTTCCCCCCCAAGCACCAACCGATACCTCCTCCAACCCGCCAGTCCCCCTGCCCTTCCAGGTAACTCCCAGTTCCCTCCTGGCCATGACGTGCTGTGGTATGGAATACCTCTTTGGTCAGTTTGGGTCAGGTGTCCTGTCTCTGCTTCGTCCCGGCTCCCCCTCCTCCCTGGCAGAGCATGAGGCTCACAAAGTCCTTGGCCAAACCAAAACATCATTGTTTTCAGCTCTGTTCCCAGCTGAAAGTCAAAACACAGCACTGCACCAGCTACCAAGAAAGAGAAAAATGACTGCCACTGCTAAACCCAGGACAAAGGCATGCTAAGGCCCATGTAAAAAAGCAAGGTGCTTGGTGACAGCCAGCAGGGCTGCACTAAGGGAAAATCCTGCGTCACCAATTTGGAGCTGATGTGTCTTGACACCAGGTTTGTCCATTTGTAAGGGTGAAACCAATACTTGTCCTCCTAGTCAAACTGCACTGGAAAAGGCAACAGAGAAGGTCTGGTGTCAGCTGGAAGAGCTGCTAAAGCTGACCATAATACGGAAAAGTGTCCACAAATGTACTATTTAATTAATTCCAAAGTGCTTTTCTGCCATGTTATTCTCAAAAAATCGTGCTTGCATCTCTTGGCAAAACTTAAAAACCTGTATGAGAAAGTGCCAGTTACCAAGTAGTTTCTTATTTTTGTTGGGGTTTTCTCCTTCTTTTACTCATCTTTCTTTTCCCTGTTCCCTTTCCATCTTGTCAAGGAAAAAACAGGGAGGAGAAAAGTGCATCCCTGAGTACCCAGTGGCCATGGGCACCATGCTGCCGCTGTCACAAAGCTTCAGTGATTGCTTGGAGTTGCCCATGAGGAGCTGGGACCCTTTGGAACTGGTGAGGGCGTCGGCATCTCCATGGAAACCACGGGGGCATTGTTACGACTGTCATGTGGGGTATTTAAGGCCCTGGAGCACCCTAGAGGTGGCAGTTGGTGGCAGAATCCACGGCAAGTCTGCATCCAAGGACACAGAAGATGCCAGTGGACAACGGATCAAACGCCCGCTCCCAGCCCGCCAAGGGCAGGCCGGGAGTGCAAAGGCGGTGCCAGGTGAGGGCTGGGGCAGGAGTGAGAGGCCGGTGGTGGGACAGGGCCACATGCAGCTGCCTCGGTGGCGGGGCCGGGCTTGCCGGCACTGCGGGGGCTGCTCTGCCAAGGCAGCTGCCTCCAGCACACACCTCTTCCTCCTCCTCCTGCCTGCAGGTGGGCCACAGGCAGCCTGAGGACAGGCCGCATAGGATCACGCTGCCACAAGTGCCCTACCAAGGAAGGTTTCCGCCCATCGTGACCCAGCAGGGACAGGCAGGGACCCCAAGGGAGACAGGGCCAAACACCTTCCCAACCACGGGAACTGCGGACGGGCAGGTGGGAGGAGCAGGAGGGAGGAAGCTGAGCCTCCCATGCTGTGCCCCGCAGGCTGCCCGGGCATGCCGGGGATGCTGTGCGCAGTGCCCATGGGCTGCGGGTGGCCGGCCCTCTCCCCAGCCAGCTCTGGGAGCAGGCAGCACCCACCTGTGGGGCTGAGCCTTGCCATGGGGCTGGCAGGGGAGCCCAACTGCATGAGCTCAGCCAGCTGGGACACGGGCGCAAGAGACACTATCACAGAGCCTCTCTCCTCGGCTTCTCTTGCAGGTGGGCAGCCTGAGGCACAGAGGGGTGCTGCCCCACAGCATGAGGACAGAGGAGCAGACACTTCATCTGCCACTGCTGGTGGAAAGGGCACCTCGGCCGCCACTTCGGCTGCCACGTCAGCCATCATCTCAGCCAGTGAGAGCAGTCAGCAGCTGCTGCAAGCTGCCTCCCCTGACACTAGCACCCTCTGCCACTAAAACCAGCTTCAGTGACACTGACATCGGCAGCATGCGGAACAGCCAAACGCAGCTTCGCACAACCGCTGCACAGCTGTACGGCATCCCCGCACACGGCAGCACCGTTGTGAGGCCACGGAGCTCTCAGCCTGCCCCACACAGGCCCACAGCCTCTGCCACAGCGAAGGGCACAGGAAATGTGAGCGCGGTCCTGCGCAACAACATCGAGACATTGCAACAGGCCAGGAGGAGCCGCTTGGCCAGAGCTCCTGAGGAAGAGTACCACCAGGCACCTCTCCTTCCCATGGCACCAGCACCAGCATCTCGTGGCTTTAGCAGGCAGGCTGCTGCAGCACAAGCCCAGCACCAGTCACCTGCCCTGCACTGCGTCACGGGGCATGTTGCAGATGTGCAAGTGTTATGCAGCACCGTCCCGAACTGGCAGTTCGGAGATGTGGCCAAAGAGGAGGCAAAAGTACCATTCTTTGCTGAGTGTGGCGAGCAGGCTGCACCAGGACAGACAGAGCGCCAGGCACCTGCAATGAACAGCTCAGCAGAAAATGACACAGATCCGAATGTCCCATCCATGTGCGTCAAGAGGGAAGTCTCTTCCAGAGCTGGTGTCGAGGAGGTAGAGGCACCAGCCTCTCCCGGCATCAGCAGGCAGGCTGCAGCAGGACAAGCAGAGGGCCGGGCACCTGCCCCGCACAGCCACAAAGAAAACAACGTGGATCTGGAGGTCACACCAAACAGCATCCTGAAGAAGGTCCATTACAGGGATGCTGCTGAGGAGGAGGCAGAGACCCCAGCCTCCTATGGCTTTGAGAGTCAAGCTCCGGCAGCAGAAGCACAGTGCAATGCACCTGACTCTGACAACATCAGAGTAGCAGATGCAAAAGTGCAGGCCACTCGCATTGTCAGTGCAAGCTACCAGTTCCGGGATAGGATCGAGGAGGAGGCAGAGGAAACAGATTCTTCTGACAAAGGTGAGCAGGAGGCAGTGGCAGTGGATCAGGAAACCAGCCGGCAGCTGCTGGAAGGTCAGGACATGACCCAAATCCTGGATGCGGCAGTGACCAGAGAGGAGAAAGACTGGGAAGAGGGCACCGATAAAGTGCTGTCCCAAGAGGAAGACATCACCGTACGCAACCTCTGGGTCAACCCCTCAGTCGCAGAGCTCTTTCAGGACCCCCAGGCCGATATCCAGGAGGGGTCTGGCTTCCCCAGCAGCATGCGCATGGATCTGACAGGGGAGGCAGGTGAAAACCTGCAAAGCATTTCTCCTATCCCACCCATTCCCACGGACACCAAACTGGCAGCTTCTACACTGGGTGGAGCTGCAGAGGAAGAGGAGCACCCAACACCTCTCACTCTTGTGCCACAAGAGGAGCAAGCGGCACCGGCACCAGTTTCTCCTGCCTGTGTCGAGCAGGAGGCAGCACAACAGGCACAGAGGCAGGTACCTGCCCTGCTCAGCCCTGATGCCTATGAGATGGCTGTAGAAGAAGTGGCCAGGAACATCACTGAACAGAAAACTGTTGAGGAGGAACAGAAAGCTGATGAGGAGGAGCTGGACAGAAAAGAAGAGGAGAAATGGGAAGAGGCCATGGACAAAGAGCTGTCCGAAGTTGAAGAGATCAACGTTTGCAACCTCTGGGTCAACCCCTCGGTCCCAGAGCTCTTCCAGGACACCCATGCAGATCCCCAGGAGAGATTCAGCTGCCCCACCAGCATGGGCATGGACGCAACAGGAGAGGCTGCTGGAGATTCGCAGAGCACGTCTCCTGTCCCAGCTGGACCCACAGACACCAAACTGGCAGCTTCTACACTGCCTGGAGCTGCAGAGGAAGAAGAGCACCGTGCACCTCTCACTTCAGTGTCACAAGAGGATGCGGCACTGGGACCAGCTTCTCTTGGTGTTGATGAGCACAAGGCAGCACCACAGGCACAGAGCCAGGCACTTGCCCTGCTCAGCCCTGATGCCTATGAGAGGGTTGTAGAAGAAATGTCCAGGAACACCACTGAACAGGTCCTGATTACGTGTCTGGCCATGATCCAGGGAGCCAGCCAGCAGGTGGCGGAACCTCAGGACATGACCCAAATCCTGGATGCGGCAGTGGACAAAGAGGAGAAAGAGTGGGTAGAGGGCACTGATAAAGTGCTGTCCCAAGTGGAAGACTTCACCGTAGGCAACATCTGGCTCAACCCCTTGGTCCCAGAGCTCTTCCAGGACCCGCAGGAGGAAATCCAGGAGGGGTCTGGCTTCCCCAGCAGCATGCGCATGGATCTGACAGGGGAGGCAGCTGGAGACTTGCAGAGAGTGTCTCCTGTCCCAGATGTTCCCACGGACACCAAACTGGCAGCTTCTACACTGGGTGGAGCTGCAGAGGAAGAGGAGCACCAAACACCTCTCACTCTTGTGCCACAAGAGGAGCAAGCGGCACCGGCACCAGTTTCTCCTGCCTGTGTCGAGCAGGAGGCAGCACCACAGGCACAGAGGCAGGTACCTGCCCTGCTCAGCCCTGATGCCTATGAGGTGGCTGTAGAAGAAGTGGCCAGGAACGTCGCTGAACCGGTCCCGATTATGTGTCTGGCCATGATCCAGGGAGCTAGCCAGCAGGTGGTGGAACCTCAGGAGATGACCCAAATCCTGGATGCGGCAGTGGACAAAAAGGAGAAAGAGTGGGTAGAGGGCACTGATAAAGTGCTGTCCCAAGTGGAAGAGTTCACCATACGCAACATCTGGGTCAACCCCTCGGTCCCAGAGCTCTTCCAGGACACCCATGCAGATCCCCAGGAGAGATTCAGCTGCCCCACCAGCATGGGCATGGACGCAACAGGAGAGGCTGCTGGAGATCTGCAGAGCACGTCTCCTGTCCCAGCTGGACGGGAGGCTGCAACATCCCACGTTCCTCCAGGAGCAGATGGCAATGGAGGTGCATCAGCTTCTCCCTTGTGTCGGGACTCTCCGCGCCAGGTGAGTGAGGTGCATGTGGCTGGCACCGGGGATCCCAAGGCCTTGGATGGCAGCTCCCAGGGGGTTTGTGGCAGGGCTATTTCTGGTGTTCCCTGTGTCACCCAACTGACGTTGCCCCCATCCCCTGCCTGTGCTCTTGCTACCCTGCAGGGTAGGGTCAGACGCTTTGTGAGGAAACACCTGGGCAAGGCTGTGACTGTCATCCATGGAAAAAGGCAGCAGCGGGTGGAAGAGCCAGACGTGGCACTAAGCTTGGATGCGGAGTCACCGTCAATGTCGCCTGCTGTATTTCAGGACAGCGAGAAACAGCCAGGTACTTCCCCGAGTTGGGTGGCACCCAGGCCAGGCCGGCAGCAGTGCGTGCATGAGTTCGGGTGCGTCCCAGCCTCCCCTCCATGGGCTGAGGGCTGCAAGCCTTCGGTGCAAAGGGCCACGAGGATCATCAGGGGGTTGGGGCACCTCCCGTAAGAAGGCAGGCTGAGAAGGTTGGGGCTGTTCAGCCTGGAGAAGAGAAGGCTGCGTGGAGACCTCCTAGCAGCCTTCCAGTATCTGAAGGGGGCCTATAAGGATGCGGAGGAGGGACTCTTCGTTAGGGACTGTAGTGATAGGACAAGGGGTAACAGGTTCAAACCTAAAGAGGGGAAGTTTAGGTTGGATTTAAGGAGGAAGTTCTGGACTGTAAGACTGGTGAGCCACTGGAATGGGTTGCCAAAGGAAGACCGTCGCCTGCAGCTCTTCTTCCCCCCCACAGGCATTGCCACTCTTCCAGACCCAGGAGCGGCCCCACGGCGACGACTCCATCGCTTCAGGAGAGTGCTGAGGGCTCTGCGCAAGGCTTTCTGTTCCTCTTGCCTCAACCCACGTGTGGAGGAGTAGCACCCTGCTGCCAGCACCAGGCCCAAGGGAGCTGTGCCGAGGATGTCGTGCTGCAGCCTGCTCTTGTTGTGGGTGCTTTCTTGGGCCAGTAAATAATAACTCTTTTCCCCCCACCAGTGCTTGTCTCTGCCTCTATGTTGGTTAGAACATGTCTGCGTAATTCATGGGCCTCCATATTTAATTAACGTAAAACAACTGACTTCAGTCTAAGCGGCTACCTATCTGTTGCAATTAGTTCTTGTTTGCTAATTAATTGCCAACGGATGATTCAAGAGTCCTTTACTGAGGTTTAGCAGCAATCAAGACATGTACCTAGTACTCGGGGGACTTACTATGCAGTAACTGGGTTCTTGAATTAAATTCTTATTGGAGACCTTGAAAGTGTGACCTGAGAAAACTTCTCTGCAGCCAGTGGATCCTTAC